TATGGTAATAATATAATGCAATATTTTTAAGCCACCCCAAACTACTATTCTTTATTATGTTTAACCTGACATTACAGAGATTCTGGAATGATCAATTATTTATTTTCTCATGATGAGAAAATTATCTTTCACACTTAAAATTATCTTTCACACTTAAAAAGCATACCACAATACACATTATTGCTTAAGTAGCGAGATAGAGAATACTATGCTATTAGTCATTATCAGATGCTCTTAATTTAATATCATGATCACACTTCTTCTAACTTATAAGTATTTTTACTTCATCCTGATCATCACTACACCATAAGGTTATCAGTGATTTTCAAGTTAATTATTCTAAGCCTTTCACATGCTTATATTCATTTATATCTGTTCCAACTTTAATGAAGGAAGGAATGTATATCATTTTTACATGGTCTGTGTAAGTTTGGTCTGAGTTTACAGAATGGGTAGCAAAATACGGCTGTGTCACTAAACAGTCACTTTTAATAAAGATATCTAAAGGATAAAACTATGAAACAAGAACTATTTGGCTCAAAAGGTCCTAAAATGTACAATACAATAGTTGAATCTAACAGGAGATAGTTACATTAGCTGTACAAACAATTTACCAAATGACAGAATAATTATTCCTAAAGATCAGTTTTAAAACATACATTTTATCCTTGGGCAGACTTTTTTCCATCAGCTGTATGAACTGTACACTGAGGAGGAACAGAGAAGTGGCAGTATTATATTATGGTTGTGATAAATAATTTGGTTGCACTTGTACATTAAAAATTTAACATTAAAAGATATTAGTTTTCTTTTATATGTAATCTTTTACTGTTCATGTAACTAATCTGAAGATCTAAGGCATATAACTAGATAAGGTTGGCCACTGTGCTATTGCTTTAGTATGGTCAAGATACAGCATCAATTTTCTTTTTTTCCTAAGAGACTGCTGTACTGATGAAATATAAATATCAGAAGCCTCCCTCTTCAAATATTCCTAGGAAGACTTTTGAGATTTTCCCCTATTGATTCCAGAAATTATTCCATTATTGTTATGTTAACAGACAATTCCTCTTTAAGTATACAATTAAATGTGTTTGACGTCCTGGTAAATTATTTCTTTCATAGCACTGGTTATATGTAGGATTTCTTCTTAATGCTCAAAATAAATGAGGTGTAGTTGGATAAGGATTGGTAGTTTTTTACTTCCTCCCCCAAAGAGCTGGTGTTTTTGGCTGGTTGTTTTGTTTTTTCCGGGGGGGGGGGGGTTTGAAGGAAGGAAGAGTGAAAGTCTGTACATAAAATTATTGAGTAGGCCTACACTAAAATATTTCCTTGATGGATGAGGTTGGAGGCCGAGAAAGAGGTTAGCTGGAGCAATTTTAGTATAGTAATATCTGTGTGATTTTTAAAAATACACAACTCTCCTTCTGGTCCTCCTTGCCGGATGTTCTGGTACCTCTGGAAGGTTCAGAAGCCATTTTAGAAAACTCAGGAAACAAAGTATGCGAGCTTCACTTGTGCTTTCGCAGGTGCTGTGGCGGCAAGGATAACCTTTGCTCACTGGCCGGCGTTACCAAGCTGTTATTTAATGTCTGTGAGGATTAAACACAACACAGAAAAGTCCAAACCCACATCCTAACACCTGAAGTTCGCACAGATGGCAAAACATTTCAATGGAACCTGAGTGTGGGAAGTCTATTCCAGATCCGGGGAGTTTTTATTCTTTTGAGGCACTGCTTCAGATCCCACCGAATCTTCTAAACTCTTCGGGATTGGAGAAAAAGAAAAAGGAAACAAGAAAAGACTCCCTTCTAGGTGCCCAGCGCATCCAGCCCTGAAATTCAGCGCGATTCGGCCTGAGGGTCCCTCGGAATGACCGCGCAGATCTGGCCCTGGACGTCTAGTAATTTATGGGGGAAAGGCAAAACCACAGGGCAACTTTCCCAATAGTCTCCGAGGGGCTCGGAAGCCAGAGCAGCGCCGTCTGCCCTCAGATGGACGCCGGAGTCAGATCCGGGCTGTCCTCAGCTGTCACGGGGGAGGAGGGAGGGAGTGCTGACATTGGCGCTGGTCACCGAGTCGCGGCCGCCGTCGCTCCCGCCGCCTGCTCACCTCTGAGGAGAGCTGGACGCTCACCAGCCCGCCTGCTCTTGCTCCCGAGCCGCCCTCCATCCCCGGTCCTCAGGCACAGGTCGCCGGCACCGGCCGGTGGGGTGGCTGCCGCCCCTTCGGACCACTGCCTGAGGGCTGGGACCGAGAAGGGGAAGGCGGGCAGGCCGCCGCAGTCGCGCGCGGCTCCCCCGACGCTGTGGTGGCTGCCGGCCCGGCTCCCTCCCCGCCCCCGCTCCCGCTCCCGCCTCCCGCCCGCGCTGCGCTCTCTAGCCCCGCGGGCCGGCCGCGCTCACACTCACTCGAGGGCGCCGCCAAGGTTACCCGCGGGTGGGGGCTGGGGCAGGCTCCGGCCGCTGCCGCCGCTGCTTTCCTATCTCCGGGGCCACCGAGATCCAAAACCCCAAAGCAGAAGACGTTCCCGAGTTATGGGAGCGGAGTGGGGCCGCGAGGCCGGCCCGCCTCCGGGCTGGGGTCGGCTTCCGCGGCTCTGGGCGCCCGGAGAGCGGGGTCAGGCGAGGTCGCGGCCGCAGGCAGAGGCCGTGGCTATGGCGGGCGCGGGGGGCCGCGCCGGCCGGGCTGGGGACCGCGCGCGGGGGTGCAGGCGGCGCCCAGGCGCCGCAGCCGTCAGGGCCTGGAGGGGCGCAGAGAGGAGCGGGCGGCCAAACCTGCCGAGGAAACTAACTAAATAAAAGAAGACTGTTATTTAAGGCGCGGAAATTTGAAATATTTGGACAGGAAGAGAAGAGAAAAGAAACCTTAGCGAGGGAGGGGAGGGGAATAATGCAAGCTAACGGTTTTGCAGCTCCTCCACCCCCACCCCAGGCTTTTCTGCCCGCCCGGAGCGAGCTCGGGCTCCAGCGTCCTCACTAGGGCTCCGGGGCGGGAGCTGGAGTCCCGGGAAAGTTTCAAAGGGATGTCTTCGCATCCCTCCGTGCGGCTTCAGTTGTCTGTGGGCACAGCTTTGCCCCCATCTCAGGCGGGAATTTGGTTGCCTGTCCCTCACCGGGTCTCTGCGTGGGTCTCTTTTCATCTGACCGCCGTGTTAAAAGCCAAAGTCTCCAGATACCAAGACGGGGACTTTCCCTTCTGGGTCATCTGAGGAAAGTTGCTTGGGGTGGTCAGAGGGCTACAAGCACGACCCTTTCTTGGTCCAGCACTGTGAGCTTCCAGCTGTCCTGAACAATTAGTTCTATTCCCGATAAAAGCCCCAAACACCTTTTTTTGAAACTCAGATTTCAAAATTAGTCCCGGGTCCCCTATTCTACAATATTCGTTTGATTAAGACTATAAAGGAAATTTATCATTTTAGCTAATGAATTGGTTTCTCAGGACAAAACATGTATTGTCAATTACCCAGGGTGGTTGTGTGTGTTGGTGAACTCATCACACCATTGCGAAGTGCAAAATGTTCACCAAAAACTGTTGATTCTCTACCGAAATATGATAAAAGGCACTTCGTTTGGGGGTCCGGGAACCAGAATTTGGACTGAGATCTTGTAAGTGCCCACATCTCATCCAAAGCATAGGACTAGGTTTAGTTTACTGGGGCTAAAGCTGAGCGTGTTTGCTGAAGTGGATGCGGACCCAGTGAAGAACTGAATTAGAGCGCGCATCTCTGTTTTGCAGCTTCTGTCCTTTCCATAGCATTGTCCCCTGGGGCTCTGGGCATTTTATGAGTTAGCAGTTATATCCTCACTCTAAGCATCTGCATAAATTCAGACCTCTCCCTACCTCTGCTTGCCGCAAATTAGAACCCGTTGTATTTTGCAGCACGTCTCTTCCATTCTATACATTTCCGCACATTCACATCTTTACTGAATACTGTCGAGGTTTTACAAGATTGAATAATGGCTTTTCATATTTCCTAGAGGGGACCACATAACTCATTTCTAAAATACTTAGATTAGCAAAGCTACTTCCTGCAAAGAGCCAGAGTAATGTGGGTATGTTTTAATGCCTAGCAAATTTTAGGCTGATGAGATAGAACTTCCTCTCCCCTCTGTCATGCTCCGACCACCCCAGAACAAAGCCATCGCGGTATTTTTCTTTTGCTTTGCAACAGTCCCATGCCTTCACATTCAAAATCTCTAAAGGGAAATTATACTTTATGTCATTAAGAAAAAAATAGTGAGACATGGTAGATATGGTAAAGTCTATTAAACTGCATTTAAAATCTAGAATCGTCTAACTTTATAATTGCAATTTGTAAGAAGGGTTGTTTTAATTTCTTTCAGTAATGGTGTGCTTAGATAATATTCCACTTACTAAAGCAACATAAATTTTATGTATTGACTCTTTAAATGTAAAATATGTCTTTGCCTTCAAAGTCATATTTCTTTTTTCTAAAAGAAGTCTTAAGTTTAATTTCATGTTGCCATCTAAAATAAATTCATGTATAACTTGTGGTTAAAGATGGCAGAAATTGAAGTCATGTTGCATCTAACTTAGGGAATGTGAATTTTAGTCCAAAAAAATAAAAATGATTTAAAAATTTCCTCCTATATTCTTGTATATTATCATGGAAATAAATGATTGAAAACCACTGGCTTGCAACCATTTCAATTCTTGTTAGGGCAAGAATCAGAACCATGCCCTTCAGTAAACTTTGAAGTATTTTGTTCTTTTTGAAGCAAGGGCAGAAAGCATACAAAGCAGAAGGAGGGGACTTTTGACATAAAACATCCTTGTTCGTGTAGGAAATAATGAATAAATATCTAAATTTAAAATGGTTAATTGCATTGAAATCGTTTGGTGACAATCTTTAATGACAGAGTAGAAGATGTTGGGAAATCTTCCTGGATATTTGAGATCTTTCTGTTTTCTTCAGCATTGAAAATCTTTTTAGTTAAACGAGTTTCCAAAAGACTTAAAACTCCTGTACAGAAATGTTTTGTGGAAGTCAAGTACCATATGGTACAATGGCTTTTTATTCATTGTAAAAGATTATACATTCATTATTCTGTAGACAGCTGTGAACTTCATATGTAATTTACATTTTTTTCCTTGCTGAGTCTTTTATCACCTAAAAGTTAGAGTTTGCATTTTAATACTTAAAGATTTTATAATTTTACATTTCTGACATTCAGGAAGAAAAAGGCAGCATTACACTTAGTATACTTATGGTACAATTTTGGGACATATATTAGTGAATTGTTTCATTTTGTGATTGTAAAAAATCAATGGAAGCATTTTTAAAGTGATAATTTTTTAAAGTGGCTTCAGAGCTTATATACAGTTGTCTTTAGAACACTACTGAAAGTTCAACTATCTGACTTTGAGAAAAATGGAAGATTGAACATTTGGAGAAATTCATACAGAAATGATTTCAGATGTGATCCTCAAAAAATGTTACTCTTATTTTGTTTTAAAGCAAGAAACACTAGGCATCAAGTAAATTCTGTAGGGTGGGATGAGGGAGAGAAAGAAAAGAATAACTGAATTACAAACAGAATATATTTAGTTTCCCAAATGGTCTACCTTTCTAAGACTTAAAACATGAACTTTTAGAACAGTTCTTAGTTGTACTAAGTTATGTATGGGTTACAGAAGAGGAAAATCACAGAAAAACATTATCCTGTTCTGAAAAAGTGTTTTAATTAGGCAGAAAAAGCACCAGCGCAAACCACTTTAAAAACAAAGCCTCCAAGTTGGGTATTGAGATCAGCAAAGGAGTAATGGAATAGGCAAAGAAAAGTCAAAGCAAGGTAAAATGTTCAGAAGAAAGCAAAGTTATTTGCAATTACATGTTAGAAATCAGGATTTTTGCCAGTGGGGGGAAAAATGTTGCTTAAATATATCCATTAACCTGTAGTAAGAATTTCACTTAGGCAGTTTCAGAAGATTTAACCAGCTGCTTAAAGTATGAAAAAAAAAACTATCTTAAAGAACGATATTAAAATAGTCAAGGCAGCCAACCAATTAACTGACAAAGTAGAGGCAATGTGGGAAAGGTCTCCTCATACTCAATGCAGATCTGTGGCTTCCCCTACCCCATTTGCCTCCATCAGGCTAAGGACCTCATTCCTCCCATAGAGCCTGGCCAAGTCAAAGGCGGTGTCCCCCTTATGGTTCCGATGCCCCACATTGCTGGCTGTGTGCTTCAAAAGGAACTCCACCACCTGGAGGTGACCTTCTTTGGCAGCCAAATGCAAGGGCAGGTTCCCATCATTATCCTCGATGTTAACATCAGCTTGAAACTCCAGCAAAGTCTGTAAAGTGTCCAAGAAACCTGCTCTGGCTGCATCATGAATGACAGCGAAACCAGTTCGGTCTTTCAAATTTGGATTAGCACCTCTAAGTAGTAGTCTCCTGGCAATCTCAGGATTTCCAAGTTTCATAACCTAGAAAAGAAGTAAAAACAGTAGACTCCTTCAAGTGCTCATGCTACAGGAATATTTAAAAATATCTCTTTGTCCTCTTGAAATGACTATTTTGATAGTGTGTTTGGGGAAGCTCTCCAGTGTAATGTTTGAATATCTCAGTTTCAGAAAACAACTAGTCAATGAAGTAGAAGGAAACTTCAAAAAATTGAACTTCTTTAACAGAATATCTTAAATGGGCCCAGAAGTTGGATACACAGATCAGTAATATAGGATTTATGCAACTTGTATAAATGTCATGACAACTCAGTTCTTTATCCCCCCCATGAAGAGTTATGTAGTTTAATAAATTTATTAATACATATAAGAGAAACCAAATTTGTGATTTACATACAAGTCTATTCTCTTTTTATTGCTCATAAAATATGCCTGAAATATTAATTCTGGAAAATCAAATGTGGGTAAAATTTGTATTCTAAATAGCTACTGAAAACAAATGATGGTGAATTTCTTTAAAACCCTGAACAAGTGTCACCGAGTATGAAACCATTAAAAATACAGATTTAATATTTCCTTAAATGATTAATTTTCACAAATTCTCTCCAAATAGGTATAGCCCCAAATTTCCAAAATGCTTTTTAAAAAATAATTTTTTATTTGTAAGTTCTTTAGTGGTGACTACTAGATATATTCAGTGCTTAGAATCTTTCATTTTAAGTTAGAGAATGTTATTGTTAAAGCATTAAATAAACCAGAGTGTTCTATATTTCTTGTTAAATCAATTTATCTAAAACTAAATTCATGATATGCCTTATATTAGGTAGAAAATGATTGTAGAGCAAAAATTCTTGAAAAGTGTGAAACAATCATCCTACATTACTTATTGTTTTTTCAAGTTTTAACAAACTTCTTGATTTTAAATGAGCAAAAGAAAAACATAAAATATTTGATGTGTGTTTTGGAGCAAGGACAGCTTTGTTTTATGGCTTGAGCCCACTTAATAATCAACTGGCATTCTGTCACTTCTTTGTGCAGTTATTATAAGCATTTAGGAATACCTATTTGTAAGTTGTCAATATTCAAAAAGTCAGAATGTAGTATTAACATTTTTTACTACTATACAAAATAATTTACATCACAAATATTTATTTAATGTGGTTTTAAATGTATTTCACTTTAATAAAGGTGTCTGCTAATCTCTCAAAAATATCTTGCAAAAATCATGCAAGGTATAAAACACACATATAATTTAGTTGCAAAAAATATTACTCTCATCAACTTGCCAGAAATGTTCAGCATTTCCCCTGATATATTTATATTTACGTCTATTCACAATAATCTAAATTGATAATAGGCTGCATACACTGTTTATTAAATGAAATAATAACCCATTGAAAAATACATAGAGCTGATTTGTCTCTTTTAAACGTTTTAAAATTTTTGATCACAAATTAATAAAATATACTTAGAATAAAATAATATTTTAGAAATGCAAAGTACATAGATGATCAGACTATTAAGTTTACTTGATGATTAAACTATGTGAACTTTTAGTCCTTTTTGGGGGGCAGTGCTTAAAAATGACACATAATTTATTTTTTTAAGAACTTCAATGAGATATACTTGTGTCTATTATAAATGAGTAGATTCTAATTTTGCCATAATTCTTTGTAAAGACTTGGTCACATCTAAGGACTTAGAAGTAAGAAAAACAAAAGAGACTAATTCCTAGGCTCTTTGCAAGCAAATGTACGATGAAGGCCTTTGCTATTCTCCTGATTGAAAAACACTAGAAAGTGAAAGTTTTTGCAATTCTATTAAATAAACATAATTATAGAACATCTTTCACAGAAAATAATAGTAATATTAGAAATGGTTTTGAAAAAAGTTTTCTTATGACAAAACTTCAGAGTCAGGATTAGGCATACTGAAAAATAAGCCTTCAGCCTGCTGTGTTTCATTGTATGTGAAGACTAAGCCATTGTGAGTGCTATTACCCTGATAAGTACATTTAGGATAAACAAGGTTGCAGAGTTGTATTAAAAGTTCTGTCAAATCTTTTTTTAAAAAAAATAGTATTAACTGTCCAACCTTCCTGTTCATCAGAAGTCCTGAAAGATCTTATTTTCAGTATGGGTGAAGTGGCTCAAGCTTTGTGAGACTGATACAATCTTTCTTGATTTTTGAGTAAAAACTTTCCAATATAGGAAATTTGTGGCGTTATTATAATCACTGAATCCGTTCAAAAGTGCTAAGTGGAAAAAGGAAAAAAAAAAACCTTTTCCCTACATGAAATAATGTAAGTAAGTTAGCATATATGCATAGCTTGCTTAATGCCGAATTTTTGTAAGGCTGGTGCATTCTGATTCAGTATATACAGACTATATGAACTTTGTCATATCCCTGGTCACTTAAGCTTCTAATTGTTTTAACCAAGTCCTGTAAAGCAAGCTTTTAACAAGCCTTCTCTCCAGCTTTCACAGCTTCCGAATAAGAACAGCTCATAAGAATATCATCAGAACTCTGATAATGCAACTATTTGAGACCACTTTATCATTTTTCTGTTTCTGAGCCTTTCAACTAAGTTATATGAAAATGTTTGGAGAAGAAAACAATTATCAGGTACATACTTGGCAGCTGGACATGTGTCAGTTGTTGCCTCTAAAGCTAATTACTGAAAATTAGAACATACCACCGCAAGACCACAGGGACAAAAACACTACAGCTCAGCTCCGATTATAAAATTCAACCTTTTATTTTTCACTCCTGAATGTGTAGAAGGTATTATATTAACTGTAAAATGTACATCCTGTCCCTCATGCCCAGGCTACCCATTCCAAACGAGGAAAGGTCGTTTGTCAAAACGTGAAGATTTGGGGGGGGGGGCTTGTTAGTAGTCAAGAAAATTAATGTTGAAGTCAATTATTAGGGGCAAAGCATATAAAACCACTAATAGCAGTGTACTTACTTCAAATAATAACCATAATAATGTGTTTACAGAACTATCTGAAACAAAGCAAAAGAAAACAAAACAAACAAATCTCGGGCACTGCTATGACTACTTAGAAATCCCCACCGTCACAAAAGCATTCCAAAAATTAAGACTAAACCTAGAGTCCCCTTGAAATCGAGGATGTTAGTGGATTCGACGAGTTTGTTCAAAGTACGTCATTTTGGGGAGTTGGATCCACTTAAAGATATAAAATATGGCAACCAACTAGGTTAAAAACTGAAAATCTGTATTCCTGAAATCTTAAAAGCTGTCATTCTACAAACTCTGGTCAGGTAGGCAACAATATTAACCTGTTTTTCCCATCTCTCTGTATACTAACCTGCAGCGCCGTTCTTCCAAATCCATTTTGTGCATTGACGTTTACATTATTTTGCAACAAACTAGTAAGTTGCTCTAGGTCCCCCCTGGCAGCTGCGGACGCCAATTCGTTCCCCCACGGTTCGGCCATTCTTCAGGGTCCTGACGATCCGGGAAAGATGAATTAGTTGTTTTTCTTTCTCTCTCTTCCTTTGCTCCTAACTAGGCTGCATGATGGCATCGGAGACTGACAGAAAGGACTGGGATGGTTAATCTGGAGTAGAGCTTGGTAGTAAATACTAGTAAGATCTGCCTGCCAAAAGCCCGCCCCTCGATTCACACGTGATTATTCTGCAAAACTGAGCCATTGGAGAGGGGCTCCTCTCTTCGCTTTTTGGCTTAACGCCTATGAAGAATTCTGGTGATCCAACAGACGGATACACAGGCATTCCTGGTTAATTACTCTGGGAGTGAGACGCAGGCAGAGCTGTCACGTACCCACCCTGCGGACCTCAGCGAGAAATGCGAGTCAAGACTTAAGGGACTAGGTTAGGGCAGAAATACCGCGGAAGAAAAGGCACGGAGGAGGGGGGGGCGGTTAACCCACCCTTGATCACAGTGGTGACTTGGGCCAGAACTTCGGGGGCAGGGCCTCCAAGGGGCTCGGTTTCCATCCGCCTTGCGGAAAGAGTAATCCCGACTTCTGTGCTGCAAGCTGAGCGCCGCAGAGGTTAGATGCTGAAGTGCTCCGGCGGTAAAAGACGATCGCCAAAGACAGATGGGAGTAGCAGTTCGTGGCCCTGAAGTTACAGGTCCTAGTGACTGCCCTGCGCTCTCAGCTTCACTGGAGCAGCTGCGGTCTTGTCCCGGCCGAGCCGCGGGCTAGCAACGCGTCGCAAGGTTCGGGAGCCCGCCCGCCCGGCTGCCGCAGCGCCGCCGAGCCTGCGCGGCCGCGGGAGCCAGGCTCAGCACCCGTCTCCAGAGGCTGCGGAGCACGCAGCAGGCCCCTTGCAAGCCCGGCATGTCGGCTCCACCAGGTCCCCGGACCCCGGCAGCCCGAGGACGCGCGCGCGCGAGCGACCCGGGAAGCGTCTAGGGGGCCCGGGCTGCTGGCGCGGCTCGCCGCAACATCGCAGCTGCAGCGGGCAGCTCGCCGGTAACTTCCCGCCTACGACTGGGCTCGCTTTGGCTTTCCGCTGCAGGCGCTCATTGAGCCGCGCAGCCGCCTTTGCCTTCCTCGCCCAGTTCTCTGGGCGTCTTCGGAGCTGGAGAGAATCCGGGAGGCGCAGGCCGAGTTCTAAGGATGGGGAGTTCCCTCAGTTCCAGGGCGCAGCCAGTCCCGCCGCCCTCCTGGCAAGCGGCCAGCAGCTTAGGCGCCCCGTGCCACTTCGCCAGGCGTCCGAGGTCCCCCTGTGCCGCCGACAGGGCAGCGGCTGCCAGCCGGCTGTGTCCAGGAGCGGAGCGAGAGGCTCGCTTCTTCCCCAGTCTCTTCGCTGCTGCCAGTGACAGTCTCTTTTGTAGTCGGTTCCCCAGAATCGCTGGGCTCCGCTCCCTTCACCCTTACAGGCACTTGCACGTCGTCTCTCTTTCGGATCTTTTCCTTCTCTCCCAACTTCTCTCTCTCCTGTTTTTCCCTGAAACAACTGCTGCTTCTGTTGCCTCTGTAGAGATGGTGCCGGTTTCTTCTCTTTTTTCCGACCTCATCAGCTTTTTTTGAAAAGAAAAAAATTGAGCGCTTTTTGAGTTGAAAAACCCGCCCCCATTTTAACGGCAGAGTTTTAAGGAGGCTCGGCGGAGTTTCAGCGCCGCGGGAGCGGGAAGGCCGGGTCCCGCCCCCGCCCGGGCGGTGCTTGCGCTCCAAGCCCCGCAAGCTCCGCCCCCGGACAGCGCCCGCGCGGCCCCCTCAGCGCTCCAGCCTCCTTCCTCGCTAGCTCTCTGGCGCCGGCTCCCGCCTACCTGCCCGCGTCCGGGCCCCAGCCTGAGCTGGGTTTCGGCACCGCGGAGCGGGGCCTGCTCTCCGCACGGGTTAGGGCGGATGGGCTGGGGTCTGCGACTCGAAAGCCGGGCTGTCCCGAGGGGACGAGGACGGTGTCGACGGGGGCGGGGGCGAGGGCATGGCGGTTGTCAGTTGAGTAGGCTGTGGAGAACTAGGAGGCCGGGCCGATCGGGAGCGCGGGCGGTAGGCGCGCCGAGGGCGAGCGGAGCGAGCTTCTCTGCGGCGGCAGTGGGGCAGGTCCGTCCGCCTCCGCGCGCCGCTTCCAGGCTCGCCAAGTTCGCGCTGGAGGCCTGTGGCGGCTGCCGCTGCCTCTGCCTCCGGGAGCGCGCGCGCTGAACTCGGCCTCTAGGTTTAGCTCAAGGCCTCGGCCTCGCACCTGCCAGACCTTCACCGAGAGTTGCGGAGGCGGTCGTGGCGTGGGGGAGAGTGCTGGGAAATAAGCCAGACTTGCGTTTTATAAAAACGTCGACATGTCACAAGAAATCCTAATGTCCCCTGAGGTCTTAAACTCCAGGGACTAGAACATGTGAAATATTCCTACTCTTGGCGAAATGGAAGAAAAGCAGTTTTTAAGCGAAACATAAAAGAAGTCTTGAGAAGTGCTTTCTAGAAGATAGCTTTTGTTGTTGAAGTTCTCTCAATTTAGATGGGTTTGGTTTTAGAAGGTGATGTTATCAGGAGGATCCAAGCATAAAGGAATACGTTATGTCCTCAATTATTGATTTCAATAGTTAGACACCAATTCTCTGAACTTTTAAATTCCTCTTTTAGCGATGGAGAATTAACTGTTGGTTTCTATATTTTTATGCTTAAAAATATTCAACATGGTCGCAGTAGTCAAAATGAAACCAAGCCAAAAAAAAAAAAAAAAAATACAAGTGGTGTAATTAGAACCAGCTCCTGGCAAGTATATCCTCAAGCAACATCTGTACCCAACTCCCTGAAGAAAACTAGGAGTATTAACAAAACACCAGAAACATCTGGATTATCAGCAACAGATTGCCTCTTAGGCAGAGGGAGAGCAATAGCTGGGAAGAATCTGAGGATGTTTTCTCCAGCTGAATTGTAAAGAAAAAAAATTCAGAGCTCTTTTCTGAGGTAATTAAAGCTGAGTTGTGAATTAAGAACCACAACACAGGAATTAAATCCTCTTTTTAAAAATATATTTAGACATTTCAAATAGAACATTTAGGATTCCATTTATACTAATAATTTACTTTTGATTATTCTGAGAACTATGTAATTTTTTTTAGTACACGTGGAAAGTATGATCATGTAGTAGCACTATTGGCTCATAAGTAATAATAGACATTAGTCCTATTTATTTATTTGGAGACAGGGTCTTGCTATGTTGTTCAGCCTGGCCTTGAACTCACATTGTAGCCTAGAACTCATGGCAGTCCTCCTGTCTCAGCCTCCCAAGTGCTGAAACTGCAGGCTTGTGCTATCACACCTAGCAAACAGAAATTGTTTTCTAGCACTTATTATGGTTTGTTGTTTATAGCAAATATTGAGAAGTCAAATTGTACTTTTTAGGTAGAGAACAGGATAGATGCACACAATTGTAATCAGGAGCCTGAAGTAGGAGGATCACCACGAGTTCGAGGCCAGCCTGGGCTACATAATGAGTTCAAGGTCAGTCTGAATACATACTGAGACCCTGTCTCAACCACCCATAAGTGTGTATGTGTTATAATTGTCACAAAATACTTTGTAATGAACAACTGAGTAAATACAGTATATAGTCATATGGTGAAACATGGTTACCGGTCTGAGGCACTAATGATCTTAGGCACTGAAAAAATTTGATGTTTTACTTCCTGGCTTCACATGTAAATGAATATGAAAAACGCAAAATCCAAAAATAAAAGCAAAAAGTCCAATGAAGTTTTGTTTTTTCCATGATGATTACTTTACACTTGTTAGACTGCTTTTGCTGAAATATGAAGATCTTTAGGGAAGTTTTTTTTAAAAAATTCTAGTTTTGCTGGTGCTTGCTCTGTTATGCTATTGTATAAACTAGAACTGGCAGCACAAGAGGCTACCAGAGTCTTGTTCAGAGTATAAGTGAGCTTTATCCTGCACCTTCGATGTCAATATCATATTTATTGTTAGTTCACTGAGGTAGACTTCAGAGTTGTTTGTCCTCAATAACGTTATATTCTAATGTGTACATGAAAGATTCAAAGTTAAGTACAAGACTCTTACATTGATAGTGGTGGTTTCTCATTTAACATCACAGTGGTGTGTCCCTCAAATTCTGAAAGACAGCCTTTACAGTTGGATATTGAGTACTAACAGTCTGGGAAGTATGTCATGTTGAATGTTATTGTACTGTATTTTTAATGTAACAGTGTAGATCTTGTAGACACATGAATGTCTATACTCATCTTAAATGCAAATAAACTGGCTCATAAAAAACCTCTGTTTTCAGTTAAAAATCATTTTAAAGGATTTACAGAATATGATTTAGTCAAATTATTTTATGTTTTTTCTCCCACTGACTCAATGGATACAGTTTCTAAATGACTTTAGGTAATGTGTGTAAGGTTATTACAATTTATTGACCTGGTCTCAAACTTTCTCTTTACTGTATTTATAGATGAAGAAAGGTGGGAAACAGACTGACACCCTCAAGGGGCCTTTTCATTATACTCATGACTTTGGCATTTTACTTCTGAAATTTAACAGGATTTATCATATAGCTGCTCACAAAACTTATAGAAATATTTTTGTAAAGTAAGAAAAATGCCTAGTAAAACTTAAACATAATAGTAACAGTTAATATTTACGTATTGTTACATGGTTATAAAGTAATACATATACTATTTAATCTTTGCAACCCTGTGAGGTAAATGTGACACAATGTTTTTCAGATGAAGGAATTAGGGCTGGTAGAGATTGTGATTTAAAGTTATCAGGTAGTGGGCCTAGGATTCAAATTTAGAGCTTCAAATCTTACCCCCTTTTCCATTGTTTAATAATGGGGCCTGGGGATTTAGCTCAGCGGCATAAGCATAAGCGCCTGCCTTGCAAGCAGGCAGTCGTGAGTGTGATCCCTGTACCGATAAAAAGAAAAAAGACAAAAAAAAAAAAAAAAAAAAAAAAAAAGAATTCATGGTCAACCACTAGACTCTTAACCATTAAATCATTAGATGAAATAATGATTACTTAAGTTTGGATCTAGCTCAGTAGCAACATTAGTCATCTCATGAATTTTGTTATAGGCAAGAAGTATTACTTTTTTTTTTTTTTTTTTTTTTTTTTTTTTTTTTTTGCCGTTTTCCTTTTTATCGGCACCAGGGATCGAACTCAGAACTGCCTGCTTGCAAGGCAGGCGCTTATGCCACTGAGCTAAATCCCCAGCCCCTATAGGCAAGAAGTATTACTTTTTAAAAAACATTGATTATCTCAAAGGATCAAATTTAATACTGTCAATAATAAACCATGCTGATTATGAGGCCCTCATATGATGACAACACATCCCTTTGTAGTACTCTTTCTCAAAATCCATAAACTCAGTATAATTCCCAAGATATACTAGAGAAACCCAAGTTGAAGGACATCTGTAGACTTCCTGATTCTTCAAAGGAGTCAATACTGGAAAACTGTAACACATTGGAAGACACTTGAGACACACACTAAATGTAATGTGATGTTTTAGATTGGCCCTTAAAACAGGTGAAGGATATTATTAGTGTAAAAATGCAAATAGAGTTACTAGAATTTAATTGTACATAGCAATGCTAACTTGTTGGTTTTTATAGCTATACTGCTTTTTGTAACATGGTAACATTAGAAGATGAATAAAATGTATATATAGTAGTATTCTGTATTGTCCTTGTACTGTTTTATAAATCCAAAATGTTTTCCAATAAAAACAGAGCGAAATAATTACAATTAAGTCTTACTTATATTTGAAAGAAAGATGAAATAAAAATATCCTTTAAAAGAGTAAGATAGAGCTGGGCATCGTGGCTCATGCCTGTAATCCCAACACTCGGGAGGCTGAGGCAGGAGACCAGCGAATTAGAGACCAGTATAGGCTACAAAGTGAGCTCAAGGCCAGCCTGAACTGCAGAGACAGACCCTGTCTCAAAAAGACAAAAAAAATTAAATAAAAGAGTAAGGTCAAAGAACATGGAGACACCATAAGATCTATATTTGAGTTAGGCTGAGCTCTACAAATTATTGACTACTTATGAGAATAAATACATTAAAACTATTTTTCATAGCTCTTTGTAAAAATAAAGAATTCCTCTACATTTCTATTTTTTTAGTTTGTGATACTTCAGTGAAATTGTTTCAAGGAAGGCATCCTGGAGAGTGAAATGAAGAAAGAAAACCCAGGAGAAAGGAAGGAAGAAGGAAAATGAAGGTTTTCACTTTTATATTTGGTTTTCTTTCCTTTTCTTTGTATTGGATAGTTATCCTGGATAGTGGATATTCAACTGCAAATAATTAGATTTAGGAGAAGCAACAGTTTCTTCAGGAACTGTATACATTTAACAGCACAGAAGGTAACAGTACAGTACGGAGAGGCTCTAGGGCAGTTATGGCAAACCTTTTAGAGCTTTAAATGATATAAAGTCTTCTGTGACACATGTGCCTTAGGTTCTCAACCACTGCCCTAGGGTACTGGAAAGAACATTGTTTTTGACCTAGCTTTAGTCCTGGCTGTGTTCTTTATAGCATAACCTGGGTAGATTTTTACTTTAAGGGCAGTGTTTTATTGTGTAAAGTGGTTGTGAAGATTAAATTAAATGAGAAATAATGTGTATAAGGTACTTATATATATATTAGACACTTAATAAAAGTAATAGAATCAAAATTATTAACTATTATACTCTGGTCCCAAGACTTTCCATGCATGAACTATTGTGAATATAAGAGCATATGAAATGAAATGGTTTATAATATATAGGAACTCAACCTTTGTGGGGAGAGAAAGCATGCAGATGAAACAATGAAAAAGGTTACAGACTTTATCATATCATTAAATTATGTTGTAAAAATAGTAAAAGCCATGTTAGAATTATTTCTGTGGCTTAAGAATTATGAAAGTGGGGAGGTCCCAAGAAAAGTATTTCAGAACTGGCATAAAGAATAGCAACAACTGATATGGTAGGAGAGTTTTAAGGATTATGATGAGTTTTCCACAACATTCAAAATCATTCTATAAGTTTTTCTTTTTTTTTGAGACAGGATGTCACTCTGTAATTCAGACTGGACTTAAACACACAATGTAACCCAGACTGGCCTGGAACTTACTGCACTCCTGCTTGCCCCAGCCTCCCAAGCGCTGGGATTACAGATGTGCACCACCATACCTGGCTTAGTCCCATTTTAGTGACAAAGAAATAAAGGTTTTGTAAGAGTCTGTGTTAGATCTCAAATACAGGAATCTTGAATATAAAATATATGTTGGTTTTGTAAAGATATTTTCTATTTTTCATGTATTTTCATAATTGTTCTCTCATTGACTACCTGAAGTACTCCTGTCAGAGCAGAAGTGAGAAAGATTTAAGTGACTCATCCAAGTTCCAATAGGCAACCATTTGGGAAATCAGTACTAAAAATCATATGCATGAATGTCTTAGGACATTATTTCCCTCTTTTTACATCATAACATAGGTTTAACTTCTAGATAGAAAGAGAGGAGGGACAAAAGGAGCAGCAGAGAATTTGTTAACGGGTTCTGACGTATCCATACAAATCACTCAGTGAAAATCACCAACTTTTCAGGGCTGCATTAACCCTGGCCATGTAACTAGAAACAATTATTCACCTGCCTTGCACTGAGGAATGATTCATACTAATGAGGCAACTGAATTGCTTCACTTACATTGTTGGTACTGTGTATCACCTCATGATTCATGTTTGTGCTGAATCTTGGAATTTCTTCCTTTGGGATGGCATTTAAACAAGACACTGATGCATGTGACTAGAGATGGTTCTGTTGATTTATTTAGATAATTCTGTACTAAACCATTATCACATAAACATTATAGGCCATTTTTGTTTAAGACACACAGAATAAATGTATATACATGTTTTGTGTATATGTATGTGTGCTGGAGATTTCACCAAGGGCTGCATAAGTGCTTGGCAAGTGCTCTATTACTGAGTAAATCTAGCCTACTTCTTACATAGCGCAACTGAATATTTTATTAAGATTTTCTTAGGCCTCAATTCTCTGCGGTGATTTCATTAGTTCCTCTTTTAGCTCTCATGAATGAAATCAGCAATCTTACTTTACAGGAAAGAATGTAAATGCCTTATTACAGTCCAGACTGGTTTTCTTTTTCTTTGGTATCAGGAATTGAACTCAGGATCTCACGATTGCCAGGCAGGCGCTGTGTCGCTGAAGTATTATCCACCCCCCTCCACCACCGGTCTCAGACCAATATTTTCTTAAGTCAGGGTTCAACATATTTTGATGTTACTCTTCCTCTATCATGTACAGTAATTACAAAAGATTCTTATTGTTTGCAATTTTTTGACAGTTTTTGGTAGAGGCTGTCAATTTCTGACCCTAAGTTGAAACTTTCAGTAACTGACAAGTATATTAATTCATAAAGGTTTTTAAAATAAACTCGTTTTCCCCAATTATAAGATATAAAGTTTCTCCACTTGTTCATTTATTATTGACTTATTTATAGTGATATGGACTGAACCCAGGGATTTTCCACTTGACTGTTATCTCCAGTCCTCTTCACTGTTACTATTTTTTTAAAATTTTGAGAGTATTGGTAAGTTCTCCAGGCGGGAACTGAATTTCTGATCCTCCTGCTTCAGTCTCCCAGAATACTGGGATTACACAGGTGTGAGCCATCCTGTCAGGCAAGCATTTAACTGAACGCTGAGCAACAACCCCAGCTTTTCCTCTACCACTTTTTTTTTTTTTTTTTTTAAGTGTTGAGACAGTTTTACCAAATTGCCCAGACTGGGCTCCAATTTGGTATCCTCCTGCCTCCGCCCCCCTAACTAGCTGGGTTACCCGCTTTGAGGTTCAGATTTTCATCTTTGTTTCTCTTGTGGACTGAGGGAGTCTGGTACCTGTTACTGAGTCTGAGGACGATTCAGATGAAAGAGCTTTGGGATTAGGTGTGATAATGTGTAAGCGTAAATGTTGAGACTACGTATAGAGTTGTATTTCGGTGAAACTTACATTTGCGGAGCACTGTTTGAGAAGGGTAAGAGTGTACGAGTGCGTGGAGCAGGTTTGAGAGCCACGTGAAAGGTAGGAAGGGATCCAGCCTCCCGCTAGGGGAGGCAGCCTCTGTTTCCACACGAACCGGAATAACCTGTTGCGAGACCTCAAACTCCTGCGGTTACAGGTCGGCGTCCCAGCCGCGCGCACAGGAATCCGCCGGCGGTAGTCGCGCGCCCAGCCCTTGACAGGAGGGCAATCACGTGGCAGCCGGAAAGCGCAGCTTTGCGACCTCGATGACAGGCAAAATGTGCGACAGCCCTGGCGCTGGCCAACCAGGGGCGGAGGCAGCAGCTAGGGAGGAAGCGGAGGAGGCGGAGGCGGCCGCGGGGTTCGCCCGTCTGCTCGTTCACCGGCTTTCCCCGCCCCTGCCGCTCTCGCTGCCGCTGAAAGGAGCTGGGGGCGCGCTGTCGCAACCTGCCCTCGGCTTGGCTGGCGGCAGTTGAGACCCGACCTGCCTGTACATCAGCCTTCCTGTCCGGGCGGCCGCGGCGTGGGCTCGCGGGCGCCTGAAGGTTACCGAGTGCATGAGTGCCTAGCGCCTCTCGCGCTGTCCCGCCCGCCGGGTCGTCCGCCCGCCAGTCCGCCGGCTTCCCCGCAAGCTCCTCGGCACCCGGCGGCGGCGGCGGCGGCGGCGGCGGCGGTGGCGGCCGCCACGGCGACAACGGCCGCAGGAGGCGCCGTCTCCCGCCCAGGTGCACGTTTAGCTCCCGGCGCCTCGGAACTCGGCCGCCGCCATGGCGTCCAACATGGACCGCGAGATCATCCTGGCGGATTTTCAGGTGAATTTTCTGGCCTTGTACCCCTCCCACCTCTAACCTCGTGAGTTCCTATGTCAGAAGGGTGGCCTCTTCCAAGCGTTTGTTTGAATACTACAATGATGTGTAGTTTAGGCATTGATACATGTCCGTGTGTGTGATTTATGAGCATGTAATTCATGTGTTACGTTGGTCATATAGGATGTGTTACAAGTTGAATGAGAATTTTTAATAGAGAGCGTTAAGATTTTTGGATTACTTGTGTGAATGTGTTTTCTCTATTATATGGGGAATGTGTACAATTTGGGAATAATAAGTGTGGGGCCATTTAAGTACGGTGTGTTTTGAATTGTTCTCTGAGGAGACCTGGTGTATGGAGTATGGATGTGTTGTTACGGATGTGGTATGTATATTGTGTTAAGAGGAAAGTAAAAAGAATGATGAGGAAGAGATGGTGGGTACCCCGGGCATGGTGGTTCTTTTCAAGGAAGAGTAAGCATTTGACGCTTTGCCTTACTGGAATCTTTGGAGGGTAAGAAGATCAGAAAGAGGCAGATACTGTATATTCCAGTGGAGCTCTATAGTGAACTCACATACTATCCAATTAATATTTGCAGATTTCCCTACCCTACAGACTTGAATGGGTTGACTGGTGGCCTTCCTCTAGGAATATTTTAAAGGATAAGTAAAAGTTATTCCCTTATGAACTCAGTTGTTACAATGGCATGTAAGTATTTTAGGGAGGCCCTTTGAAATTAGAACTGTATGTACCAGGAAGAGTTGGAGTTAGAAGTGATATCCTGCTAACATTACCTTTGCCTTTTGATGTAGAACATATTTTAGTGAGGTATTTTTAAGCATTTTAGCATTAATTTAGAGTCCACTGTCAAGTATAGGGAGACTTCCCTTTCTTGAATCTTGTCATTATTGCACATGGTCTAACAGTACTGTAGGTAGTATATTTGTTTACTGAGTTTTTCTTCTTGTTTTTACAACTTGATGGTCACTTGCAGAATTTGCTCTTTTTGTTAACTCTGTGATATCTGATGGATCTGATACACTTGGAATGTCTGTTTATCTATATTTTAATTTGTTGAACATAGGAGGGTTCTTAAAAGTTGACTCCCAAGTTGTACATTTAGGAATGACTTAAGATCTTTGCCTGTCTAAATCTTTAAGCATCTTTTTTATTTTTATAAAATGTATGTTAAAGTATAATTTCTTAAGTCAGGCATGGTGGCACACACCTGTAATTCCAGCACTCTGGAGGTTGAGGCTGGAGGATATCCTTCGGTTCATGGCCATCCTGGGTTCCATTGTGAGTTCACTGTGTTGGGAGACCTGGTTCCCTGCCCCCAATATATACGGTCAGTACCAATTTTATTACACTAGATTTAAGTTGTTACTGAAACTTAATGTATTAGAATCTGTTTTATGAAGTAGTGGGTCTTAGGCATGGTATTTTCATACATTGTATTAGGCCCTACCCCCATTCTCCAGTGTAATCTTTTATCTAATGTAGAATACATCTTGTAAAAAAAGACTTTGTATTTCCTTTTTTTTTTTTTTTTTTCTGTCCTTTTGAGACAGGGTCTTGTTATGTGGTTCAGGCTGGCCTTGGGTTCACTTTGTATCCTAGGCTGGTCTCGAACGTGCAAGGATATCCTTGCCTCAGCCTCTTGCGTTCTGGGATTATAGGAATGCACTCCCACTCCTGGCTAAGACTTTGTATTTCTAGGTGTAGTTTTATCCTGTTATTAAAATTATATTCTGATGGGCAAGACTTTTGGACAACAGCTGTAAGTAGAGTTAACCTCATTAGTTGATTTAGTTAAAATTAATGTTGTAACTTTGTTTTAATTTCACCAAACTTTTTTCCTTAATAACTTGTAGCTGCTTTCTAACTTATTATTTGTGACAGTCATTAAAACAGAATATTTAGTATTCAGAGGTAGGGTTAATATTTCCTGATAAGCACCAGGAATTTTTATTTGGAAACCAAAGTAATTATTTGAATCATTTTAATATACATTTTAATTAATTAAGTTTACTGAAGATTGAACCCAGATTGAACCCAGGATTGAGCACTACATCCCCAGTCCTTTTAATTTTTTTATTAGTTTTTACTTTTCTGTTTTACTTTTTAATACTTTTTAAAATTGTTACTGTGATCAAACTCATGACCTTGTGCTTACCAAGCAAGTGCTTGAACTGCTGAGCTAAATCCCTGACTTTTATTTTTCTTTATTAAGTTTATCATTGTTTGTTTGTTTATTTATTTACTTAATTTTTGGTCTTTTTTTTGACAACGGTCTTGCTGTGCAGTTCAGGCTGGCTTTCAACTCACCCTAACCCAAAGTCACCTTGAACTCACAGTAATCCTCTTGCTTCAGTCTCCAAAATTCTGGTATTATAGGTGTGTGCTACCATACCTGGCAATTTTTTATTTTGAGAGAGTCTTGCTAAACTGCTAAATTGACTGGGCTGTGCTAGAACTTGTGCTTTTTCTCTTATTATCTCAGAGTGTTGGGAACATAGGTGTGTGCCAGTATGCTTGACTACATGTATAAATTCTAATAAAATTTTTCTTTTACTTGAATGACATTAGGGTGGTCTTTTAGGCCAGTGACAATGTTGTCCACAATTGCTTATAAATGGAAAATAAAAACTAATGGCATTTGCTCTAAATAGTTGCTTACTAATTGGTGAGAGTTGATTTTATATTGTTAACTAGGTAAGAAAGTATTGATGAATAAAAGTTATTTAGAAAACTGTACATATTTTAAGCACATTAACCTTGTTGTTTAGGAACCTGTAATTGTCTTTTTTTGTTTTTATTGGTACCAGGGATTGAACTCATGACTGCCTGCTTGCAAGGCAGGCACTTATGCCGCTGAGCTAAATCCCCAGCTCCAAACCTGTAATTGTCTTACAAATGAAGGTACCAGATCAGTTTATTTTCATAGTCTTAGTTTAAAATCGATTATTATTTTTTCATATTCTCAGATTTTTAGGATTAACTAAGCATTTATCTAGTTTAAGGGAAATGAGAAATTTATTTTAAAGATAATACCACAAGCTTTGTCATGAACATTCTTGGATGGCACTGGTTTCTTCTACAACTGGACAAATAATTTTCCTCACACTGATGTGGATATAACATTATATTTGTTATTTATTTATATATTTGTTTACTAAAATTATATTTTCTTATATGATTGTGGGAATCAGTGACAGTTTTGAGAACTCTGTGTCTTTGTAAAAGGACATAATTTTAGACTTTGATGAGATTTAAAGGTAAATGTCAGATTTTGTTCATTGCTACATAATAGACCCTAGTAATATAATGTTTAAGTATGGAAAAGCTTTTAAGAAAGGATTTTGAATTCTTTTGAGTTTATATCTATTTTACCTCAACAAATACGACTTCCGTTGAAATCAGTGGAAAAGTCATGAGTGGATTGAAGATTGTAGCTCATACTTAATGAGATAGAATTGGGATTGTAGGTAGATGAACTTGCTTTGTAGGGACTACAAAACTATTCTGTTCCAAATTGTCCTCATTTAAAAAACTTATTTATGGTAGAATACATAGACTTAAACATTTGCCATTTAAGGGTACAGTTCAGTGGCATTGATTACCTTCATACTACTGTGCAACCATCACTGCATTCTATCTTATGAAACTGTAGCTGTATTTGTTAAACAATGACTCCTAATCCTCCTTTTCCGTGACCCATGGCAACCACCAGTTTTTTGTCTTATGATTTTGATTGTTCTAGGTGTCACGTATAAGTAGAATCATGCAGTATTTCTGCTTTTGTGATGACTTACTTCACTTAGTGTAAGGTCACCATTCATGTTGTAATGTGTCAGAGTTTTATTTTATTTTTTTTATAGCCAAATACTGTCCTTTTGTTTGTATATATCAGATTTTGTGTATTGATTCATCTTTGATTAACATCTAGGCTGTTTACATCTTTTGGTTATTGTGAATGATGCTGTTGTAAACATTGTTGTATCAATATGTTTGAGTCCTTGCTTTGCATTTCTTTCCTTGTATAGCCTTTTTTTTTTTGTCTTTTTCATTTTTATCGGTACCAGGGATTGAACTCACCACTGCCTGCTTACAAGGCAGGCGCTTATGCCGCCGAGCTAAATCCCCAGCCCGCTTTGGGAGTATAGCCAGAAGTAAAATTGCTGGATCACACAGTGATCTTACTTGTAGATTTTTGAGGAACTGTCCTACATTTTTCTCTTTCTTTTTTTTTTTTTTTTTGGTACTGGGAATTGAACTCAGGACCTTGTGCTTGCTAGGTGGGTATTGTATGGTTGAGACATATCCCCAGCCCCACTTTTCTATAGTGGCTGCACCACCAAAATTTTGAGTAGAGACAGTGTCAATGTAACAAGAGATGCATTCCAAATTTTGTTCTTTTAGTAATTGTAGAATTCTTTTTTTTTTTTTTTTTTGGTACCAGAGATTGAAATCATCTCACACTTAACAGGCAAGAGCTTGAACCCCTGAGCTAAATCCCTGGCCCAGTAATTGTAGAATTTTTTAACAGCCTCTTTCCTCTTCACAAAAAATAGTTGATCAAACATACTTTCAAGATCTATTTGGTTTGCTTACAGATATAAAAATAGGTATCCAAAACAACTGCAGTTTCTGTCAAATAATCTTGGTAATATTAATTACCTCATACTTTGTTTGGGTGGACCAAAAAAAAAAAAAAAAAAAAAAAAAACTAAAACAAAATAATCCCCTCCAAAAAGAGTTTCCATCCACACTCCTTTAACCTTTAAAAAGAATTTCATTATCAGTATGTGTTTGCTGCATTTAATTTTACATTCATCTTAACGGGTAGGTGCATGTACTTAACATATATTAATTCTTTTTATTCCCTTTCTTTCCCCTTGCTGTCACTTTCTCCATCTGAATCCCCTTTTCCATTTACAAAAGATGTATCTCCCTGTTTCTGGTTGCCTATTAATAAACTATTAAACTTCATTCTATATGCCAG